TCCCCGAGGGGTCCCGGGCGGCCACTCTGCACAGCGCAGGGTCAGGGTGCACCCTGGAGAAGGGCTCCGCGGGCGACCCGGGCTGGGGTAGGCCGACTGCGTGGCCGCGAAGGCGAGGGGCTGTCGGAGGCGGCCCTGGGGTGAGGCAAGCGCCCGAGCCGGGTCTCGGGGAAGGTGGTTTACGCTCGCTCGCACCGACACCGCGGGCTCCGGCAGCAGCTCCAGCATGCAGGCCAGGCAGAGGCGCGGCGACACCGGCAGCTGCCAGCGCGGGTCATGTCGGCAGTGTGCTCTTTCCTGAACAGGCACAGCGTCTTCGTCCTTCCGGAGTCCTGAAGAGCAAGCAGCCAGCGACCGCCTCACAGCCATGTCCGCCGCTCACACCGCCGCGCTGCGCCTTTTCCCGCGCAGCGTGTGCGCAAGCGCACTCGGAAGCAAGCGCGGCGCGCCCTTGAGCGTGTGTAACGCGCCTGCGCGGGCCGAGTTCGCGCCACCTCTGCCTGCAGAGATGCTTGAGGTTCGGGGGTGTTGACGCTGGAGCCAGCGCAGGGGTATCCAAAGTGGTTGCGCTTTGAACCTGCTGGAATTGGTCTTTGCTACATTGAAATGGGAAAGCATTTATGAAGTGGCCTTAAAAAGAAAGGAGAGGGAAAAGAAAAAAAAAAAAAAAAAAAAGGAGAGGGGCTGGCTGGGACGTCTTATTTTAGTTTTTTGAGTCTGCGTTTCACTATGTAACCCAGGCTGACCTCCAACTCATGGTGTTCTTCTAAGTCCTGGGATCATAGGCGTGCTCCACCATGTTCAGCCAATGTATTTTAAATACAGTATATGTTTATAACTGTGTATAATACATCATATATTACCTAACTGTAATCCCTTTAAATTAAGAAATTATTTAATATGTAGGCTAATCCAGGTATTGTGTCACACACTTGTAATCCCACCACTTGGGAGGCTGAGGCGGGAGGATCAAAAGTTTAAGGCCAGTCTTGGCTATATAG